TACCTATCCATGAGCATGGTATGTTTTTCCATTTATGTAGATCCCTTTGGGTTTCTTGCAGTAGGGTTCTGTAGTTTTCTTTGTGTAGGTCTTTTACATCCGTACTTAGATTTATTCCTACGTATTTTATTTTTTTAAGGGCTATTATAAATGGTATTTTTTTTCCTGTTTTCCTTTTGCTCATTCTCTTTATTGGTGTATAGGAATCCAACCAATTTTTGTATGTTTATCTTGTATCCTGCTACTCTGCTGAATCTTTCTATTAGTTCCAGTAGTTTTCTCGTGGAGTCTTTAGGGTTTTCTATGTATAGTATTATATCATCTGCAAACAGGGACAGTTTAACTTCTTTATTACCAGTTTGGATGCCGTTTATTTCTTTTTCTTGCCTTATTACTCAAGCTAGGACTTCCAGCAGTGACCACATCCTTTTGATGAGGTAAGGCTTTGGCTCAAAGATAGAGCAAGCCATATGTTTTAGTTATCTAGTGCTGCTATAACAGAAATACCACAAGTGGGTGGCTTTAATAAACAAACATTCATTTTCTCACAGTTTAGGAGGATGGAAGTCCAAATTCAGTGCTTCAGATCTAGGGGAAGACTGTCTCTCTCTGTCCACTCTGGGGGAAGGTTCTTGTCTCTTGGTTCATTGGTGATCTTCATATGGTGTAACATCAAAAGAAATTGTTTCAAGACCCTACACTAATCCTGCCTCATACCATAACAAACACAACCCATTCCCAAATGAGATTATAACCACACATATAGGGGTTAGGATTTACAACACATATTTTGTGGGGACACCATTCAATCTATAACACCATATCTTTGTTTTTTTAATTGTTATTTTTTAATGTGTTATTTTTGCTTTATAGGACGTCTAATCTTTGTCTGAAAAGTGGGTTTCAGGAGTGTTTTCAGTTCTGAGTTAGCAGAGTGTCCGGGGGCCATAGTTTCAGGGGTTCCTCCAGTCTGTGTCAGACCAGTAAGCCTGGTCTTCTTTTGAGAATTTGAATTCTGTCCATGATGCTTGTCAGATCTTTGTTGTGATCCCTGTCAGAGCAGTTGATGGTGGTGGCTGGGCACCATCTAGTTCTTCTGGGCTCAGGCTGTGGAGTCTCTGGTTCATGTGGTCCTTTAGTCCTTTTAGGCTAATATTTTCCTTGTGTCTTTGGTTTTCTTCATTCTACTTTGCTCTGGACAGAATGGGACCAATAGTTGTATCTTAGAAGGCCACTCGCAAGCTTTTAAGACCCCAGGTGCTACTCACCAAAGTGGGCTGTAGAACATTTTCTTTAAGAACTATGTTATGCCAATTGACCTAGATGTCCCCCAAGACTGTAGTCCCCAGCCCCCAGTCCCAGTTACTTGGTCACCCAAAGTGTTTGGATGTGTCTAGGAAACTTCTATGCTTTTGCTTTGGTCCAGTTGTGCTGTCTTTCCCTATATTGTGTATTGCCTTTGCCTTCACCAAATTTGACACTTGTCTACTATCTAGTTAGTGATTTCCCCTTCCCCTCCCTTCCCACCTTCATAACCACCAAAGAAAGCTTTTTTCAGTGTGTAAAGCTTTTTTTGAGTTCTTATAATAGTGGTCTCATACATGGTGTTCTCATTAGAAGAGGAAAAGAAACAGATACACACAGGGAGAATTCCACATAACAATGGAGGCAGATATTGGAGTGATGCTTCTACAAGCCAAGGAACACCAAG